GACCACTCCCCGGTCACGACTCCCCCCGCGACTCCCACCCCAACGCCTTCCAAACCTCCCACTCCCGCTCCAACTCCTTCTCCCACCCCCTCCAAACCTCCCCCGGTCACTCCCACCCCGACTCCATCTCCCAGCCCCACCAAAAAGACGCCCGCGCCCACACCGACCAAGAAACCCCCCTCCCCATCCCCGAAGAAGACCGGCCCCCCTCCCCCGAAGCCGAAGAAGACCGGCTCCCCTCCTCCGAAGAAAACCGGCGGGTACTACTAGCCGTTTGAAAGCCCCTCTTCTCTCTCAGCAAAATGGTAAAAGAGAGCCTCCGATCGTCAGAAAGTTGACAAAGGGAACAATCGAACAAGCAGACTGTGGAAGGACTCGGATTTTGGAGTCTTCTAACGTGTAGGCAGAATGGACCGGCGTCGTTCAATTCCAACCTTCCAGATAGGCAGACTCAGTCATCATGCAGAATTTATGATCCCGTCGCGTTCGAGATTCTTCGCGTTCTCAGACAAAACGGCCAAGTGCGGATAACTAGTTTCTTTACGGGGCCGGCAAGGACAATGTAGAAATTTTCTGCAGGAACAATTTCTATGGACCAAAAAGTGCTCTTATCGGATGTTTTTCGCTCCATATAGGTGCGTTTGTCCGCATTGCTCAGAAATCCGTCCCTCTTCGTATCCATGTTTTCTATCCAACCCAAGCCTGGTGTAAGGTCAGACCTTCCTTGTCATTTGGAATTCAATAACTTTGTCAACAGATCTCAGCACTTCAGACATTCGTTGGTTGTTGTGGGCCATCGAAGTGATATGATGGATGTATTGACCCCAAATGGATGCATGGACTCTACTTGTTTGACCGAAGTCAAATGTACGTTGCGATCCCTTGGAAACATAACGTTGCGATTGCCTGCTTTCAAGTTTGCATGGGCATATTAGATTATGCCGCCGGGCAAAACGGGGGAGTATAAGGAGCGCTTCTGAACCACCAATCAGATGCACGGACATAATCGCGAAACGGCGCTGCTTCCGACGCGTATCCGGATCTGACGGCCATCGACTTTGGCTGCCGAGACCCTCAAAGTCCTTATACGAAGCCGTTGATGCGGCCCGCTTTTGACTGTGAAGCTAGAAAACCGGCAAAGAAAATCACACCGGTCACCTTCGAGAGTCAGAGGAGTTCAGAGGGCAAGTTTCTAGATCGCTACGTCCATGTCAAGTTCTCGTCTGACTGGGCACATCAATTTCAGCCCTCAGACCACTGATGGCCTATCTATATAAGAGTACTAGCTTGACAGCAACTCTGGAGACGGGGGCCGCCCACCTCAGCAAACAGATTGTGAGCAAGATTCTGGATTTGTCTGTCCCAGTAGCTCAGAGGGAGCTTTTTCTCCTTGACTTCCGGACAAAATCCGTAAGCACCGATGCATGGTTGTGATCTAGGACATTATAGAGAGCGTTACTTCGTTCCGAGGCTCTCGATGGCCGCCTTCTGGGTCTAAACATCACACACGAGCCGGGCTCTTGAGTTGCACAGCGATTCTTGTGTGGCGGGAAGCATTTCGTGGTGTCTTTCCCGGCGCCCAACCTAGTGGTGCGAGCGGTCTCACGGGCTGACGTAAGTTGCTTCCTACGCTTTCGCGCCCATCTGAAAAACCGGTAAAGCTTTAAAAGATTGGTCCAAAAGATAGGCTACTTGGCGTGTGCTTGGTTTCGAGGTTCTAAAAAAGGCTCCAGGATAACGAGCATTGAATCCTGCTGAAGCAGCGAGTGAAACGCGGACCTTAATTAGACATTGACCGCGCCCCAGCCTGACCCGGTTTGTTTGGTCTTCGCCGCAGACGCCGAGAAATGGAGAGACTTAGAGAGACGGATCCTAACGTTCTCGGTGTCTCTCGAGTTGAACGAACCATTGGGCCGGTCAAAGCTTTGGACTCGCAGCCGCGCCGAAAACCGAGTCGTGAGCTCTTGTGCTTTGAAGCAATGCGCTGAACAACGTTGGAGATAGAACGGCTGAGCTTGGGTGCCCCCCTATGCTGCCCGCCGCTTGTCTATGCAGACCAGATCTTCGCTTGCCAAGCCGCCGCCTTGGAATGCAAAAGCGGCTTGAAAGAGGATTTCTCGACACAGGAGGCACATCCCATTCTCTCGAGCATCTTTCTCCGCTCTGGTGTGCTTTGGACTATTTCGCCGCTCCTTTTGCGACAGTTGTCAAGCACGCAACCATGCAATGATCCATCATCGCAACACGGTGGCGCTTAGGTAAAGCCGTGTCCCGCCGCCTTGCTGCCAAACCTTATGCAAATTGCGACAGGACCTTTACGAAGACAAACTGAGTTGAAACTAAGGACGTGTTGCTCTAGCAGCTTCTAGGAACTTGCGCACCGTGGACTAATGATGGCTACTCTGCAGCGGTCCATTATTCCGGATGCGCGAGCTGTCCGAGCAAGCTGCAGACAATTTTCCGAGGCCGTGATAAAGACGACAAAAAGTCCTGAACTGAAGAGCGAGTGCCCAATTCACCCTTTTCTCAACGTTGGATGGCTAGACACGCCCGCATTTCAGCATGGGCTCTACTCATTCACCTGAAGCGAGGCACTCGAGGAGCAGTAAAACCTGATGCATTGCAAGCTATCGTCAAGTGACTGAGTAGGTAATCCTTCCATGTCTTACAGGCACCTCGCTGTTGCCCGCATGACTATTGAAAGAAGATGCAGCTCAGCAGGCTTATCAAGCTGGATCGAAGACCTGCTAGTCTTGCTCGCGCTTTCAACTTCCTTCAATCCCTGTACAGAGGGAGCACACTCTTACGAATGCAGCCACGACTTGAACAAGGCGGCGTATCACTTCCTCCAAGCCTTTCACTGCATTCTGAGCATCCGTTTCTCTGCGAACTTCCTGCCGCCCCGTCCAACTTGCGGCAGCTATCCGTTCTTCGCTTCAAAGCTGGCGCTTTAAGATGGCGCTCGAGGACCGAGTAGCCTTACTGGGTGTGCTGCTGCTCCTCTCGCTGGCGAATCAGGTAACATCCTTGTAGCCGGCCTGGAGACTTGCTTCGCATCGATTCTGCATAGAGTCAGATGCTTGGAGTGCCTTCCTTTGCCAGAATCGTTTGTACTCGTTAGGAGGTGATTTGAGGACTCCCTTCGCCGTTTTTGAGAACGTCGAAAAGAAGAACTGGCTCGCTTAAACCGGATCTTTGCACGTTGACATATGGCTGCCCAGTAGCCCTTCGCAAGAGCCACGAATGAAATATGCCGATTTCTTGCAGAGAAGAAACACTTGTCAATCGAGCTTTGTTCACTCATCTGGGCGCACATTTCCTATCCGCTGTGTTTGAGTGTTTTCCTGTCCTGTGTGCAGGCTTTTGCGGCTACAATCAGCCAGGCGCTGTTTGCTTCCAACAGCTCGCACGAGATCGGTCACGCATTGACTCAGCGCAGCCTGTTGCAAGCAGGTACTTTCACCCGCATACTCAACTCGTTAGCACCTACATATGTTTTCGTTTTTTTTGTCGCCTTAGGCCTTCTCTTTGGAATCCGAGGTTCCCAAAATTTTCTTTATCCTCTCTGTCGAGTCTGCAGAAGTAGTTAAGCGAAGCCGGAGACTCCGTTGAGCCACCGTCTCAATTTACGGGCAACCACACGCCGACTAAAGTTAGAAGACAGGTACTGGTGGGCACTGGTTACACGTAGCTCAACAACGAAAGCAAGCAATCTAGCCTTCTTCCGCGCCCAGACTCAGCATCTCTTTTTCGCCACAAATCCCACCAATTACTTTACTTCTTCACTTATTGTCTTCAGTGCGCACAGCTCAATTTCCGTTTACGTACCGTTTCGTGCAGCCGGAACCTTCGTCTGCCCCGGCGTCGCCTTCGGCCTCTGCCCCTTCTTCGGGCTGGGCCAATTCGGCAACACGATCCCGCTCTGCTGCCCCGCCTTCATCGGCTGCCCCACGACGCTCATCGCCATTCTGCTCAACTGCGCGGCGGCCACGGCCGTCCCCGGGGTGCCCACACCGCCCGTGACTGCACCCCCGGTCACCACTCCTCCAATCACTGCTCCCCCCGTCACCATTCCTCCCGTCACCACTCCCCCGGTGACTGCCCCCCCGATCACGACCCCCCCGGTCACGATCCCCCCGGTCACCGCGCCCCCCGTCACTACTCCGCCCACGTCCACTCGCCTCCCCGGTCCG